CTCCCATCTTTCCGAGGCTGGCAAATCAGGTCCCCAGCTTTGTGGGGGCCGGGGGGGGGTGAGGGAGAAACGTCTCGCCTGCACAATTAAATTGTAAACCACCCAGAGAGTGTTTTAAGTCCTATGGGGCGGTATAGAAGCAGCGTGGGGTGTTTTTTGTTGTTGTTGTTGTTGCTTTTAATTTGTGTTATCAGTACAGACAATCCATCTGCGCTGCCTTTTATTCCCAGACTTGAGTTTTATGGCTGTGTCGGAACTAGAATGTGGGTCTTGGGACTGCCATCGTCCAGCCCAGGAAGTGGGGGAATCCCTCAAGGTTTAGGGACGGCTCATGCCACACTTGCTTTTTTAAAATATTTTTCTGTAAAAGAAAAAGAAACAAAGATTAAAAAGCCGTTTCGTGCACTCTAATCTCTTTTTTTAATATTTTAAACACGCATAGGTCTTCTCTGACCACTATACCGTGCTCCATCTCTTGTTTTATGCAAAAACAACAAAAAAAAAGATTTGCAGCTCAGACCAGGCAGTTGTTTGCAACCTCCTCACTCATAATGCGGAGGAAAGGGGCAGGGCTGGTCGTCCCCCTCCCCTCCCCGCAAAGCTGGTTGCCGACTCCGGGTTGGGCCACAGTCGCCAGGGGCTGCCGCCTCCCTCATCTGTTCCCTTTGCTCCAGTTCCCAGGGAAGGCTTTTCAACGGGTGGCCTCTTGCCCCCCGCCACGTCCATGGATTCCCTGGCCAAAGACTCTCAGCCCTCTTTGGATCTGGCCAGCGCCACCAGCGGGGACAAAATCGTCACGGCGCAGGTAAGCAGAGGGGATGGCCCCCACCCGCCCCCAGAACCCTTGGGGTGAATGCCGTGGTTGTGGGCGGAGGGCTCTCTCCAACAAGATGTGGGTGCAGAATGATGTTCCAACCCCATCTTCAAAGTCTCAGAAACTGTCCTTGCTGTTTGTTTATTTAAAATATTTTAAAAAGAACCCCAAGTTGCTTCTAAACTGGAAGTGGACCCCCCTCCCACCCCACCCCCGCTGGCCACTTCCTCCCTCCTCTTTTTCTTGTTTTGGGGGCTCAGTGCAGAAGGAGTCCCCGGGACTCTCCCGCTGCCATATGTGTTTGTACAGAAGTAAATCCCATTATGTTCTGTGAAGCTGGTAATCCCCAATCAGCATGTTTTCAATTTCAGCCTCCTTTGGCCTTCTCTTCCACAGCTGTTTTACGAGCGGGGTGCCTGGGTTTACAGCGTTGCTCTTAGGAAATCCCCGGTAGGATCTGCAGTGGGCCTTGACCCAGTTTCCAGCACTGGTATCTGGGTGAAATAATGTGCTCCCTTTCTGTTTTTATGTTTATGCAAATCCACGTTTCTCGTTGCAGGAGAACGGGAAGTCGGCCGACGGGCAGGTGGTCATGAGTGAAGTCATAGGGCCTCAGAGACCCCGGTCGAATTCTGGCAGAGAGCTGACGGACGAGGTATCCCCTGGGGTGGGGCTGGGAAAGTGTGGGGCCGTAGCTAGGACACTCATGTTGTGCGCCACTTCTCGGAGAACGTGTGCTAAATACGACAGGCGCCCTGCAGGCGCAGCAAGGCAGAAGCCGCCGAAGGACTCCTGAGAGCCGCTGATGAGCTCAGAGCCGGGTTGGCTTTTCTCTCTCGTTCTTGCATGCCTTTTCTCTCTCGTTCTTGCACGCCGAGAGAAGTTGTGGCCGTTGGAGGATCACCTTTATTTTTGTTGAAATAAAAGGAAGCCATGTGGTCCATGTCAAATACAAACGCAAGAGTAGGCAGTACATTTTTAGACCGCTAAAGGAATCGTCATGCAATCTGCGAGTTTTCCTGGATCAGGACCGTCCACGTCATCAGGCGTGCCCCGGTAGGAAAAGTCCGTGGCAAGATGGATTTCACCAGAGTGGGAAGAAGTGGAAAGTCCAAAAGTCCGTGGCAAGATGGATTTCACCAGCCACGTCTTTCTTAGGTGCAAATCAGGAAAGATGCAAGCGGCATTAGGGCTGATGTTTTAAAGTTACGGCCAAGACACTTGTGGATTGGATCTCATGCCCCAGTTCTTCAGACAAAAAAGTATAGGCCATATGGGGGCAGATTTGGCCTTTCTTTGAAACAAGCGTGTCTCTGGCTCGGCGGGGGGCGCGGAGTGACACAGAAAACCTGAGTGCTCCATCTGGGGATTTATTTTTAGTTGTGTATATCTCTGTGACCTCTTTATTTATTGTTTTTATTTCATCACAGCAGGTGTGTACGCTTTCCCCACTTTTTCAAATCTGCCCTTTTGTTTTGTCCCTTCCCACGGCCACACCTTCAAAATTCCAAGTGCTGTTTGAGTATAGGAGAGCAGCTCCTTTGACCACATAACAGGGCTGGGCATTTTGTCCTTTTTCTGAAAACAAATACTTACATTTCCATTTCTTCTGAGTAAACTGGGTTGTAGAGGCTTCGGCCACCATGATCCAGAGCCAGTGCGTGTTCCTCCTCCTCCCCATCGTACGTGCGTGCTGCGCCCGTGTGACCCGTCCCTTCCTTTCTCTGCAGGAAATCCTGGCCAGCGTCATGATCAAGAACCTGGACACAGGCGAGGAGATCCCTCTGAGTCTGGCCGAGGAGAAGCTGCCCACAGGCATCAACCCCCTGACGCTGCATATCATGAGGCGGACCAAGGAATACGTCAGGTGGGACCTGCTAATGTCCGTACCCGCTAAAGGGTATCGTTCTGCAAAAGAGGCGCCTGCAGGACTATGCTTAAAGGTGGCTCAAGGGGAGCAGAGGCCTCTTGAACCCCCTCCTGCCTAGCAAGATGCTTTTCCCGACCTTTCTCCGGGCTGCTTTTTGCTGGACGTGAGGCCAAAAATTGGCCACCCCGAGTGAAAGTCTGCTCCTAAAACTGGTTTTCACTTTGTGTTTTTTGGAAGTACTTGCACACATCAGCTACAAAAGGGTGGGCAAGCTAATGGCTTAAAAAGATGCGTGCAAACCGTTTCGTGCTTCTCTGTCTCAAAAAAAACAATCTATGCATCAGTAAGGCGACACCCCGCCTACTTTGGGTGAAGCTGCCCATTTCTCCTATGTGGGAATTGTCTCCAAGACCACCCAGGAGAACATCTTGTTCCCAAGAGATTTGTGCTTCCCCACTTCATCCTTTGGTGCAGAAAGAAGGACATGATGAAAGCCCTTTGCCTGGGTGGGGACTCTGTGCCAGGCAAGGAGCGGGTGGAGCCCGCGTCGATTGCCCTGTGACCCTGGCTCAAACTAGAGCTTGGGAAGGTTTAATCATCATCTTAGAACTGCGGAGCTGAATCACTGAGCCTATCCCCAGCCAAGGAGGCCCAGTGGGGGAATCAGACTCCCGACCTTTGACTCTGCAGCCAGAGATCTCAACCATGAGCGATCCAGCACTTCTTTCTTTTCTCTTCTTTCTTTCCTTCCTTCCTTGACTACAACTCCCAGCAGCACTTCTTTTTTTTCTTTTCTCTTATTTCTTTTCCTTCCTTCCTTGACTACAACTCCCAGAATCCACTTTAAAAGGGACATTCCCAAGCTGTACAAATAGCAGCCTGGCTTCCATTTGCCGGCCAACATGGGAAGCCCTCTGCCTTCCCAACCCTGTCCTGCCAGAGCACCAGTGCAGGTTAACCCACGTGCTTTTTGCTGGGGCTTTTGCAGGGCACACGCACCGAGTGTTGCTGATCCAGGAAGGAACCAGGGGGGAAGGTTTAGTGGCCCCTGGGCCATCGGAAGCTGCGGTCCCGTTGCCTTGGCCATGGGTCGCTTGTCTCCTGTCCCTTTAAGAGCACGCATGCGCAGTTGTATCCCACCAGGTGCTTCTGAACTGCCGTTCCTCTGAGCCAGAGCTGGTATAACCAATAGGGAAGGATGCTGGGTACTGTAGTCCAACAGCATCTGAAGGTCTTCTGTGATGCACGCTTGCATGACCGGCTGTGCTTCCACCGTCTTCCCCTTTCTTGGCTGCCTGGCATGGGAGCCCCAGAGGCGTTCGGTAGCAGCAAACGCCAGAACCTCAGTTTTGCCTGTACAAACCAGAAAGCTGAGCTCCCTTGCTCTTTTGAGTTAACAGTTAGAGGGAAGCATTTAGTTGTGTGGCCCGTGGGCATCGACAGCCCTTGTTGTATTTTTCTCCACACAGCAACGAGGGGGCCCAGTCGGACGACGAGGACAAGATGCAGTCTCAGTCAAGCGACACAGACGGAGGGCGGTTGAAACAGAAAACGTAAGGCTAAGACTCCCCCCCCTTTGTTTTACATGTTTGCTGTAAGCAGGGCAGCCGCAAGAGTTGTCTCTGTCAGGGGTGGGGTGGGGGTGCAGCTGTGCCACCACAAAGGGCTCCTGTCCACACGAGAGGTGGTTCCCCAATTTCCTCCAGTCCCCTCTGTCTACAACGGTTCTTCCTACCATATCCTAGTCACTCTCTCTCCCTCCTCTGGTGAACAGCTCTTCGGGAGAGATGGGATACTTAAGGGTGTGAGAGAAAATGGCCCAAACTGGTTCTTGCATTAGTTTTGAATGAGTTGATTTTTATTTTTTTTTAAAAAAATAGCTGTACCCCGGCTTTCTCCTTAAGGCAACCCAAGGTAGTTGACCATATTCAAATCACATTGAATTGCTTTCCGTGAATGTTTTCAATTCTGACATTTTGTTGTTCATTGGTTTTCTGCTCTGTCCTGTGGCATTTTCCCTTTTAGCCCTTTTCCAAAATTACAGACATGTTTATTCCAGGCGTTTATACTCTGCTCCGTAGCCAAACGGGGGGGGGACACACACCCCCAGGGGAGTTTATAAGATAAAAGCAGCCTGGCAGTCCGTGCTCTAAGGCTTTTCCATCTGAGACGTAATACCGGAAAATAAAGAAGTCAAGGAGAAGATATTTAATTATTTGGTGCATTTAGACCCGGTCTTTCTGCCACTGAGTTCAAGGCAGTAGATTTGGCTTTTGTCCTCCCTATTTTGCTGTCACACACCAACCCTGCGAGGTAGGCCAGGTTGACAGAGTGTGAGCAGCCCAAGGCGATAACTTTATGGCTTGAGTTGGATCTGAGCCTTGGGAGTCGTAGTCTGGCTGTCTCACTGCTGTCCTGCACCAGATCTCTCTTCTTCTAATAACCAGCTGGGATCAAAAATAGTTCCAGCTTGTCTAATGGAATGGTAACAGTCATGGGAACTCTTAAAAACCCCAGTGTCACAGCAGAAGCCTTAAAGAGCCATGTCTCTCTCCTCCTCTTCCTCCTCGCCACTTTCTTTGCTCTGCTTTCCGTTTTACCAAGTAGCAAGATATAAATATTTAAACTCCGCTGAAAGCCGGCAAGGGGAAAAAATTCAACCTCCTTCAAAACTGGAGCCAGATTACAGGGCAGGGGAAAAAGCCGCTGGGGCTGATTCTCGCTCCAATAGCTGTGGCTGACAAGACGTGTTTGCTCGCTCTGCTAAGTTGTAAAGGAAATGTGTGTGTGTATTTTTTTTTTCCTTTTTGTCTCCAAGGACCCAGCTGAGAAAGTTCTTCGGCAAATCGGTCAAGAAGGCGAGGCACCTGGCCGAAGAGTACGGAGAGCGGGCCGTCAATAAAGTGAAGAGCGTCCGGGATGAAGGTGGGGGGGGACAACGTCCCGTGTTCTTGCACAGCCAGGGCCAGATTCTAATTAATTAATTAATTAAGTAATTAATTAATTAATTAATAATAATAATAATAATAATAATAATAATAATAATAATAATAATAATAATAATAATAATAATAATAATAATAATAATAATAATCTAGCCTAACAGAGTTGGGAGAGGCCTGTAAGGCCATCAAGTCCAGTCTTGGCAGAGAGTTGCTCAATTACCTCTTGAATGCCTCCAGCATTGGCATGCTCACCACCTCCCAAGACTATGGCTTCTATTGTCGTACTGCACTAGCAGGACGTTTTTCCTGATATGCAGCCTAAGCCTGGCTTCCTGTAGCTTGAGCCCATTATTACCTGTCCTGCACACCTGGATGATGGAGAACAGATCCTGCTCCCCCTCTGTAGGTCTACCTTTAAAGTATTTGAAAAGTCTTATCCTATCTCCTCCCAGTCTTCTTTTCTTAAGGCTAAACATGCCCAGTTCTGTCCGTCTTTCCTTCTAGGGCTTGGGTTTCCAGCCCCCTGATCATCCTAGTTGCCCTCCTCTGGACTTGTTCTAATTTGTCAGCATCCTTCTTCAAGTGAGGTGTCCAGAACTGGACACAGGACTCAAGAAAAGTATTTTAAAAGTCTTATCCTATCTCCTCCCAGTCTTCTTTTCTTAAGGCTAAACATGCCCAGTTCTGTCCGTCTTTCCTCCTAGGGCTTGGGTTTCCAGCCCCCTGATCATCCTAGTTGCCCTCCTCTGGACTTGTTCTAATTTGTCAGCATCCTTCTTCAAGTGAGGTGTCCAGAACTGGACACAGGACTCAAGAGATGAGGCCTAACCAGTACTGAATAGAGGGGAACGGGCACCTCATGGGATTTGGAGACTACACTTCTCTGAATGCAGCCTAAAAGAGCATATATGTTAAAGCATACATGTTCTGGGCTGAACAGGTTCTTGTCTCTTGGCCTGCTTTCATCCAGTGGCCTTAAGCCAGCTATTTTTGTCCAGATTCCGATCATCTACCTGACCCCTGATGTTTTGGGAGAGAGAATCCAAACGTTAACCTTCCCAGGCTCTGATTTTGATGTCAAGCAGCCCCACCTGTCCATCTGTAAAGCACACCAGACAGCTTGAAAGCCGGATATAAGTGCGTGACGCCTGCTTCTGCTCTAGAACCAGACCCTGTGGCCCCCTTGCGAACAGCCAGCTTGTGTGCGTGCGTGAACCGTGGTGCTTTTGAAGCCTGAATAAGTTTTGCAGAATACGAGGCAGGGTAGAAACGTGGCCGTGCTCTCTAAACGTCAATGTCTTGCTGACGTTCCTTTCCCTAGTCTTCCACACGGACCAGGACGACCCATCCTCCAGCGATGACGAAGGGATGCCCTATACCCGGCCCGTGAAATTCAAAGCGGCCCACGGCTTCAAGGGGCCCTATGACTTCGAGCAGATCAGAGTCGTCCAGGACCTCAGCGGGGAGCACATGGTAGGTGGCCTGCTTGCATGCTTAGGGCAGGGGCCGAGCTCAGCAGGACCTAACACTGAAATGGAGCAGAAGGTCTTCGTTGAGATGCCACTTAAAAGCGAGACCAAAAAAAACCCCACAAGGCTCCGTGGAGCCCTCTTGTTTTCTTCGCAGTCACAAACATCTTTTTCTCTGTTGGGTTCTAAGAGGCCAGCCTCGGCTCTGTTCTGATGTGTTCCGATTTTGGGGAATCACCTGGAATGAAATTCTGGGGAGAACCTTTTAACGCGGCCTTGGAGGTCTTTGGAAGCAAAATAAGATACAAAGGTATCTCAACAAATATTGGAAACTTAAAACTCTTTTTTTGTTGTTGTTGTGGTAGCCAACTTGTAAGATGAATGGGTAGAAGTAACGTTTGGGGCAGTGGGGTTTAAATTTGCAGAACCCCCACCATGGCAGACGGTGTGCAGGATTTAGGGAGAACCTAGTCGGATTGAGGAGCTTTCCCCAGCTTAGCAGAAGGGTGTCCAGGATGCATTCCTTCCTGGCTTCTCTCCGTTCCCAAGCCCCCAGGTGGTGGCCGGGAGGGCCTTTCCCATAGAGGAGGCGCAGGCCTGGCGGTGCTACCGCAGACCTGGCCCCCTTGAGGTCTGACGGAGGCGCTGAGCCGCCGTGATTGCTGCTGAACCGCGAGCTGTTTTTCCTCTGGACAGGGTGCCGTTTGGACCATGAAGTTCTCTCACTGCGGCCGGCTGCTGGCCTCGGCGGGTCAGGACAACGTGGTGAGGATCTGGGTGCTGAAGAACGCCTTTGACTACTTCAATAACATGCGGATGAAGTACAACACTGAAGGTGCGGATTCTTTCCACTTGTGGCCCTTCGTGTCACCTGCGAAGCCCAGGTGTGCCCTGGAGGAGCGGTGGAAGCCGTTGCCTTGAAGCTGCTTTTCCCCTTCCTATGTTTCAGGCCGAGTGTCCCCTTCGCCGTCTCAGGAGAGTCTGAATTCGTCCAAGTCGGATAACGATATGGGGGTGAGTCGGACCCCTTTGCCCTCGGGGTTGAAAAGAGGAGAACCGCCCCGCCCCTTCCCTCCCGTGCGGGTTTCCATGACTCCGGATCATCTGCCCCTTTGCTGAGGATCTTCTTCCCCTCTGGATTGCGTGGGGTACCCTGGGCCTCCACCTCTCTCTCCTGCCTGGATGAGATTCGGAGCAAATCCTCAGGATGAAAATCAGCCTGGGGCGTGGGGGAAAAATCTGAGTGAGTCACTCCGAGCGATGATAATAGGTCACTTTCAAAAAAGGGAAAAACCTTCACATCCTCCTCCCGTCATTTGAGTAATTAGATGCTCCTCTGACTTTGGGTTTGAATGCAGGAGGTAATTAAATGATGTGCTCGGTGCTTAAGTGTCTTAGCCTAGCAATTACTTTGCATAACCTTATTTAAAGCTTCACTGAAGCTCTGTCTGTGAGGGAGAAGAGCAGAGGGGAGAACAAAGCTAAAGGCCAAGTGCAGGAAGAGGGCATGATTCTGCCTGCAGAGTCGCACGGGGCTTTGTCTCCGTTTGCTTTTTGGGGTGAACTGGCGAGCGGAGGCGGGGGGAGAGAGTTTGCAGATGTGTCGCCAGCATCCTGGTTCAAAACTGTAACTTCAGCTTCCTCTTGTTTTCAAAGCAGGGGTGGGCCCCCTCTTTTTTCCAAACACACCCCAGACGCGCCCCCTCCATGGAAGGAGACTTCCTTTTCAACATGGAGCGGAGCGTCTCCAGGAGGCTTCAGAGACGTAGCTGTTCTCCTCTAAAGGGAGACAGGAGTCTTACTTTATCAAACTTCAGCTTTCTGAACATTGTATTGATGCTAGACATGAATTTCTGGGCATTTGTGAGTTGTGTTTTTCCCAAATCTAAAAGCCTCACCATTTTGACAGGGATCCAGCCCGCAGCAGATCAAGGGGAGCTGAAAAGCTCAGGGCAGCCCCTTTTTCGTCTGAAGGGGGCCAGCCATGAAGATGGGACCCCACTTGCTCTCTCTGCCCTCAAGGGAGCAGGGGCTGAGCCTGCTTTCCGAACCCTCTTCCTGTTGTGATCCCTGTTTTGTGTGTCTGCTTGATAGATTTGCAGCAGCGCCGATGAGGACCCGGACGATAAAAGCACGCCCTTCCGCCAGCGGCCGTTCTGCAAATACAAGGGGCACACCGCCGATCTCCTGGATTTGTCCTGGTCTAAAGTGAGAGACGCCCTCTGTTGACGGGGGATGGCTTTTGCCTAGCTTGCCGCAAGTTATGTTTCGGCCACAAAAATGCAGAGTTCAGTCCTTCCCCTTGTTTGTGGTGCTGGCTGATAACTTGGCCACAGGAGACCGGATGACGTAAAAAGGAACAGAAACCCATCCTGTAGGAGGATGGCTGATGCTGAGTCAGGGCCCCTTCATGCCGCTCTTCACCAACTGGCAGCAGGGTGGCTTCCCCAGTGTTTTAGGCAGAAACTTTTCCCAGTCTTGCCTGGAGAGGCAGGGCATTGGACTCGGGGCACTCAGTATGCCAGTTCAGGTGCCCCAGCACCAGGGGGCAGCCCTTGGCAATGTCCAGCTGGGCAGTCTACAGTAGGAATGGCCGATCCGGTGAGGAAAGAACCTAGATGGCTCCTTGGTTATTTGGGGTTTTGCTCCCAGAGGCAGGGGGAAAACGAGGATGTGGGCCTGCTTTGGCTGGGCAGATGGGGCACACACCTGCCCTTCTCAACCCTGTGCCTACCACAGGACTAGCAGCTTCCCTAGACTCCCCCACCCCCTCACAGCTGCAGCCAGCCATGGTGTGAAATCAGGAAAGGGTGGTCTTCCTGCCATTCCTGCCTCCTTGTGGTTTCCAGCATCTGGAGGCTGAATACCACAGTTCCTGCAATGGGAGCTTGATGAGCATCATTTAACATGTGCAGGATTATGCCCACATCTACTCCTCCTCATTCCTGTTGTTACAGATGTTGGGGAGGTGTCTCTCGTTCTGAGCAGGGGAAGCTTAATGGTGGATTGTATCTGTGGTCGGCACTTTCTGCGTATCTCGGAAATAATTCATGCCATTTTGATTCTCCCCAGAATTACTTTCTACTCTCCTCATCCATGGATAAGACCGTCAGGCTGTGGCACATATCCAGGCGGGAGTGTCTGTGTTGTTTCCAACACATTGACTTTGTCACTGCTATTGCCTTTCATCCTAGAGTAAGTATTCAGTCTCTCCCTTTCCCTCTTTCTTTTTTTTTGGGGGGGGGGGTCTGACCTCGTTTTTAACCTAGTTTTGAATATTAAATATAGATTGAATAGAAGATGAGTTCGTAAGTAGTAGAATGAATAGGGAAAAACTATCAGGAGACACTTTGTATGTTTTTAGGGACGTACTTCTGCCACTGACTGTATTGGGTTGCATATGCATTACATTTGAAATGCACAGCGAGCCCATGGATTAAGAGATATTCTGGCCAATCCTGCACTTTATCTAAATACTGGAGAGGAGAGATTAGAAATTAGAGCCCGCATTGGTGTGTTCCCTGATTTGCTTGTCTTGTCCCTGATTGTTTGTTCCATTTTTGACAAGAGAGACAACAGCAGATAGGAGGCCCTCCAGGATAGCTCCAAACATCCTATTTCTTTTGGCATCACCTATCCCTCCTCCCCCCCTTCTTTTTTCCTTTCTTTCTTTAGGATGACAGGTATTTTTGTAGGAGGCCCTCCAGGATAGCTCCAAACACCCTATTTCTTTTGGCATCACCTATCCCTTCCCCCCCCCTTTTTTTTTCTTTCTTTCTTTAGGATGACAGGTATTTTTTAAGCGGCTCCCTGGACGGGAAGCTTCGGCTCTGGAACATTCCCGACAAGAAAGTGGCGCTGTGGAATGAAGTGGACGGGCAGACCAAGCTGATCACGGCGGCCAACTTCTGCCAGAACGGCAAATACGCTGTGATTGGCACTTACGACGGCCGGTGCATCTTCTATGACACAGAGGTGAGTCCTTGCTGCGGCCGCCAGTTGATGCCGGACTTTCTCCTTTGGGGACGCATCCAGGAGAACGCTAAAGAGCGAGTCCCATTCATTCCCCGGGTACGGTCTGCGGTGCCTAGAACAAGCAATAAGAAGAAACCATTTCTACTTGGTTCTTTTAAAAATGATACCTTCCCTGGACTTCTACGAAAGAATTTGTCACAATCCCCATGTGGTCCCTGATTGTTTCACCAAACTAAGAGCTCACGCTACGTGTCTTTTAGCTGCCACCAGCTGATTACATCAACATTGTTTAATATTAATCATAGAAGTCCAGGCAAGGTATCATTTTTAAAAGAACCGAATAGAAATTGGTTGTTTTGGATTTTTCGGGCTCTTTGGCCATGTTTTGAAGGTTGTTCTTCCTAACGTTTCGCCGGCATCTTCAGAGGACAGGAGTAGCACTCTGTGCTCTGGTGCAGTTTGTTTGGGAGTTGAGTATTTCCAAAAAGAAATTGTTTATTGTTACAGATGTGGACAGGACAAGTAATGTTGTTAACTCTTAAACAAACATCCTCCTTTATCCACTTGCTCCGCTCTCTCTCAGTCTCCCTGAGCAAGTCTCATTCATTCGCTAGGTGCCAATACAGTCTGCGGTGCCTAGAACGAACCCTGTCATTTCCCCCTTGAGCTTCTCCAAGCCGGTGAGCCGCCACGTTATGATGCCAATCCCGTGGATATATTTCTGTACCTTATATTCCGTTTGTAAATCTCCTTGTCTTCAACTTCTCTTTAGCACCTGAAGTATCACACACAGATACATGTGCGGTCAACCCGAGGGCGGAATCGAGTCGGAAGAAAGATCACCGGGATTGAGCCCTTGCCGGGAGAAAATAAGGTTGGCATCCAGTGTGTTCGCCCTTGCTTACCTTGAGGTGGTCTGGGTCACGTGTACAGCACCGCTGGTCAATTTCAGTGTCGTGTGCAAGGATTAAGGGAGGGCGGAAATCATCAGCCTTGAGTTGAGCAAACAGTAGGATATTTTGAGACTGAAGTGACAGTTCCCATGTCATCCCTAGTATGATTATGGTATGAGAGACTCTTCTTGAATCTGGAGTCTTTCTTGATAATTAGCAAGCAATCTCCAGTAGAGGAAATTCCAATTTGCGTTGAAGGGACCAGCTTACCCCTGAGTGTGTCGCTTCTGCTTCTCAGTGTCATGCTTTGTCCAAAATATAGGATGGAATACTTTTGTCCCAAATTACAACATTGACTGGGATGAAAACTTACCCCTGTGGGTAAATGAACATTGTGCAATTATTGTTCTACTAGAAAAGAGAGAAACTTCAGCCAGGAGTCCTGTTCCATAGTCACCCCTAGCTTCAAAAACAGTTCCGCCCCCAACAGACTGAATGACTCGGTTACCGTGTTTATTAAAATATGGAAAAGCTAGACCTTACAAGAAATTGGAGTTGAGCAGGTGGACACGAGAATGTGTGTCTGCCTTTTGTCCAGCTTGCTATTCTCTCAGTGTTCTTGGTTAACGGAAAACCTTGGACTTTTTCTGCCAGATCCTCGTGACGTCAAACGACTCCCGGATCCGGCTGTACGATCTGCGGGATTTGTCCCTGTCTATGAAATACAAGGGCTACGTCAACAGCAGCAGCCAGATCAAAGCTAGTTTCAGGTAGTTGAAAAAGGGGGGCAGCCCCCTCCTTCCATCCAGACCCTCCGCCCACAACGAGGCACACAACGAGAACCCTAAAATCATTCGCTCCTCGTGCTCCGTTCGATAACCTTCAAAGCAGCCTCGCTCAACCTGGCGTCTGTCCTATTTCGGGGACGACATTTCCTGTCGTTCACGATTCCTTTTTGCTTCTCTCTGCCCTCAGCCACGACTTCACCTACATCGTCAGTGGTTCAGAAGATAAATACGTTTACATCTGGAGCACGTACCACGACTTGAGCAAATTTACTTCTGTCCGGAGAGACCGCAATGACTTCTGGGAAGGTGTCAAAGGTGAAGCCCCACCGCCTCCCCTACCACCACCCACCCACCCCAATAACCAAAGAGCTGATGCTCGTCTGTAGGCTGACAGGGACTTTTCCAAGCTTACTCACGAATCAAACTTGCATCAGTCTTACTCCACATCCGTTTCGGAATTGGATGGTAGCGTAGTCTTTGCCACTGCAGGCGGATGGTGTCTTTTTAAAATGACCCTGCGTGCCTTACGATCCCCGTGCAAAAGACAAGTCCAGTTGGGGAGGGGACTCTTTTGGCCCCACGGCTTCTTTGGGGTAGAAATCCTCATTTTGAGCCATAGGTTTCTTTTCACGGATTAGATTTTTCCTACTGTGTTGAAAATACGTTTTGATTTTGGGTGTTTTGTTTTTTCCCCAAAATTGTGCAAAATAATGATGGCTGCTGCCTTCTTTCCTGGACTATGAAGGAGAAGCCTAGCAGGGGTGGTTCGCTTCTTTTGCCACCCTTGCCCGTTCCTTCTGTGCTTGCGGAGGGGGGAGGGTTGCGGGAGCCTTGGTGTGTTTTGATTCTCAAAATGTTGGGGGAGCAAAAACAGTTGGAGGGCCAAGCTTTCCCCATCGATGGTTTCAATTGTGCGGAATTGTCGTTTTGGACTCCCAGCATGCCCTGTAGTGGACCGTCGTCCCCGCCGAATTCTGGGAGGTCGTCCCAAAAAATGCAAACCTGCCCCATTCTAGTCTTGACTGGTTGCTGTCTAAAAATTCTCTCCGGAAACGTTCATCTCAGAGGTTTCCCGGACTGCAAAGAGTGGTTCCCCCTTTTGCCTCTTCCTCAGACCCCCTACTCTTTTCCCTCTTTCCAGCCCATAACGCAGTGGTCACCTCCGCCATTTTTGCTCCCAACCCCAGTTTGATGGTCCTGTCGGAGTCGTCGGAAAAGCCGGAGCCCGAGAGCAAAACGGAAGATTCCGAGTCCACGGATCCTATTCCTTCTGGTAAGTGCCGTTGGCCGAGTTCGGACGAGTCCCACTTTTTTTGGACCGCAACTGCCAGGATCTCCCAGGCCCTTGGAGTCACAGAACTGGTTTGAGTTGGGAGGGTCTCCTGAGGTCATCTAGACCAACCCCTGCCCAGGGTGGTCTTTTGAGGGGATCACCCGTCCCAACAGTACGCCAACCAGTGTGTGGCTCTCAGGTGCTGGCAGGACTCCAATGCCCATCAGCCTTAACCAGCAGAGCGAGTGAATGCTAGAAGGTATAGTCCCGTAGTGTGGTGATCCTTCCTTGTTTTGAAGGAAGGGCTTTTAGCGATGATTTTGTGGCCAGCTTTCAGAAGGAAACAAAGAGGCAGGGACCTCTCAGGATCAGCTTTGGGGAAGCTGGTTTCAGGATTCCTTCTGAATAGCCCTACTTGGGAGTGGATGATCTAAGACGGCTTTGCCAGCTGTGAGCCCTGCCTTGTACATCAACCCTTTAGGGACAGAGGAAGCTGGCTCTTCTCGAGTCCAGCCAGAGTGAGGCCCCCGGTCCCTTTCACCCCTTGTTCTCAACGGGCAGCCGTGGACCTCCAGGGTTGCATCCGCGTTCCCCCCCCCTTGCCTCCCCTGGATTTGCATCTGGGCTCTGCTGATGAGCTGCGTCCCTCTCTCTGGTGCTCGTAAGGCACCCTTTCTAAAAACAGCTTGTCCTCCTGCCCTTTTTCCAGGAGCCCTGAAGACAGACCACACGGAAGTGCTCCTCTCGGCCGATTTTACCGGAGCCATCAAAGTCTTCATTAACAAGAAGAAAAACGCACTTTAAACGAAAAAAAAAATCATGGGTGACTTGGACAGCGTCGTGATCATGGTACCTGGGTGGGAATCATGCGATCCTTCCGTGGGGCAAAGTAGAATAATAATAGCTGTCGGAGGCTGGCTTAGCCTTTCAAACTCTTTCATTTCCCAAAGCTGCCCTGTTAGACCTCCTCGGGGGGGTGTGCGCGTGCGTGCGTGTGTATGAAGCACCCTCCAAGTGGTTAACTTCCCCACACCCTGGCTTTTTCGATTGGAGGGGGAGCGCAAGTAAAGAGGCTGGAGGGGTTTCGGCGTTGAATTTTCTGAACCGCCCTTTGCAAAAGGATGAGTGCCCCGTGCACAGGATTATGCGTGAAAAGGGCGAGGTTTTCCGTGCCTTGGGGGAGAGGGTTCGCCTACACCAAATTGAGAAGGGGAGAGAATTTGATCTGGATGCCCCTTCCTCCTCTCCCCCACTCCCCAGGAGATGTTGTGCGCTCACGGAGGCCAAGTGGCCCTCTTCGCCCTTCGCCAGCAAGAGCTGATTTTTAATTTTTATTTTTTTGCCCTTTGTGTTCAGAGCTGGATTTTTGGCTGGGCCCTTTACATTCTCTGATTTCCCTTCCTGCTCCCTTGCCTCCGGTGGATTAACTGCAACCACAAATCAGTGTTTTATAACGTGAGGTTTTGTTGTTTTCTAATCATCGTGCACTCTTAGATTCCTTTCTTAATATATAATTTTATTTTTATTTGCACACTGGAGCACAATATTTCTATGAAAGAGACTCCCATTCCTTATTCCAGGGGCACTGCGTTCTGCTCACCGTAAAATATATATATATATAAAACTTAAAATATATATATATATATAAAACTTAAGCTGCATTAGGAACAATTCCTATATTTTACAACAGTGTAAAATAAATTGTTTACATATTTTTTAAAAGCATTGTAGTTGAAACTTTAAGTTTTTTGTTTCTCTTTCGGTCTGTTGTTTAGAGCTAACTGAACTTAAAAGGTCTTTTGTAAATAGTTGTAAATCCTACCAATGAAATGACATTTAGGGGTGCTGAAGCCCTCAAAATGCCGTTGATGGTTCCTGTTCCCGAAAAATGAAAGCTGTATCATTAAAAATGGGTCATTCAAAGAAGGATTGCCTTTTGTCCTGCTTTCCTGGGCTTTTTTCGAGCTGCCTGTAGGCTGTGCTGCAGATCAGCAAATCCTGCACAATAGCAGTATACAGTGGTGCCTCGCTTTGCGAGTGCTTCGCTCTGCGATGAATTCGCATAGCGAGGGGGTCCGGGCCATCGCTGGAGCATTCGCTCAGCGATGGCCCCTATGGCGATTTTTCGCTTTGCGATGATCGCTAAGCGATTCGCTTAGCGATCTTCGCAAAACGAAGCGGGGGAGAACAGCTGATCGGCGGTTCCAAAATGGCCGCCGGAAGGTCCGCGCCGCATTTTCGCGCCCTGCCC